TCATAACATATATGCATAACACATGACACCTTTCTGCTATTAGATAACTATTCTTTTATAATTTTGGGTGGAACATAATTCACCCCAGATAACTCAGTTCAGATATTCATTTCACCTCCTTGGAAGGGACAGAAGGCTCTTTAAGCTCTTTATCAGCTGGGGAATTTGGCAGCTCTGGAACAACAGCTGATGGTACTCAACCTTGCATTTGATTGGCATGTCTGTGTAGGGTCTTGCCATCTTGAGTCTTGATCTTTTATGACTTCTCCAGGAAGCTTTTGGAGAGTGTTGGGGACAACTTCCTGGTGTAAGTGCTGGTTGCGGCCAACTAGGAGCCTTCTTGACCTGCTGCTCACAAACAGGGAAGAATTGGTGGGGAATGTAGTAGTGGATGGCAACTTGGGAAGCAGTGACCATGAGACGATTGAGTTTGGGATCCTGAGGAAAGGAAGGATGGAAATCAGTAGAGTAAGGACTCTGGGCTTCAGAAAAGCAGACTTAGATTCACTCAGGGAATTCATGGGCAGGATCCCCTGGGAAGCCAGATTGAGGGGGAGAGGAGTCCAGGAAAGCTGGTTGTACTTCAAAGAAGCCTTACTGAGAGTGCAGGAACAAACCATCCTGATGCACAGGAAGACTAGCAAGTATGGTTCCTGAATTAGTCAAATGGATTTGGACCTGATCTGGCTAATTTGACCAGGGACATGAAAAAATTTCCTAAAAAAAAGAACACTAGCAAGCATGGCAGAAGACCAGCTTAGTTTAGCAGGGAACTCTCCAGTAAACCAAATCACAAAAAGGAAGCTTATAAGAAGTAGAAACTTGGGCATATAACTAGAGAAGAATATAAGAGCATTGCTCGGGCATGCAGAGGTGAAATCAGGAAGGCCAAAGTGCAATTGAGGATGCAGTTAGCAAGGGATGTGAAGGGTAGCAAGAAGGGTTTCTACAAGTACGTTGGTAGCAAGAGGAGGATCAGAGAAAGTGTGGGTCCCGTACTGAATGGGGGAGGCAACCTTGTGACAGGAGATGCAGAAAAGGCAAGGTCAGCTCCCAGACTACTTTATTAGACAGCACAGTTCGGGGAGGAAGTTAACAGCCAACTGTATCAAAAGAACAGGTTAGGGACTATTTAGAAAAGGTGGACATATACAATTACATGGGGCCACATAGGATGCACCCAAGGGTGCTGAAAGAGTTAGCTGATGTGATTGCAGAGCCACTGGCCATCATCTTTGAAAACTCATGGCAACCAGGAGAGGTCCCAGATGATTGGAAAAGGGCAAACATAGTGTCCATATTTAAGAAAGGGAAAACAAGGATCCAGGGAACTACAGACCAGTCAGCCTCACCTCACTCCCTGGAAAAATCATGGAGTAGATTCTCAAGGAATCCATTTCTAAGCACCTGGAGGAGGAAAAGGCAATTAGGAACAGTCAGCATGGATTCACCAAGGGCAAGTCATGCCTGACCAATCTGATTGCCTTTTATGATGAGATGAATGGCTCTGTGGAAGTTGGAAGACCAGTGGATGTTGTATACCTTGATTCTGGCAACGCGTCTGATACAGTCACCCACAACATTCTCGTTGGCACGCTAAAGAAGTCCAGGCTGGATGAATGGACTGTAAGGTGAATACAAAACTGGCTGGAGCATCAGGCTCAGAGGGTATTAATCAATGGTTCAATGTCTAGTTGGCATCAAGTGAAGCGTCCCAGGGGGTCAGTCCTGTGGCTGGTTTTGTTTAATATGCTCATCAACAACCTGGAAGATGGTAGTCAGTATACCCTCAGCAAGTTTGCAGATGACACCAAGCTGGGGGAGTAGCAGATATGCTGGAGAGTAGAGCTAGGATTCAGAGTGACCTCAACAAATGGGAGGATTGGGTCAAAAGAAATCTCGTGAGGTTCAACAAGGACAAGTGCAAAGTCCTGCACTTAGGATGGAAGAATTTCACACACCGGTGCAGGCTGGGGGCTGACTGACTGGGCAGAAGCTCTGCAGAAAATGACCTGGGGGTGACAGTGGACAAGAAGCTGAATATGAGCCAGTAGCGTGCCCTTGTTGCCAAGAAGGTTAATGGCATCTTGGGCTGCATTGGTAGGTGTGTTGCCAGTAGGTCCAGGGAAGTGATTATTCCTATCTATTCAGCACTGGGGAAGCCACATCTGGAGTACTGTGTTCAGTTTTGTGCTCAGAGGCACAACCAGGCACAGCACTGGAGCAGTTGTACAGATGAAAAAATAACAGCTGCTGCCACAGCCATATCTCCAGCACTGGCAGCCAGAAGTCACTGCTGTCTCCATGCATCACTGCTGTCCTGGATGCCCAGTTGCCCTGCTATACCTCTGGCAAGCAGGCACATAAGAACAAGGACAGAAGACAGCGAAGCATCAAAACTGTGTGATTTATCTTGTAAAGAGCTGTTCTGACTGCGGAGGAGTTTGCTCTGAGCTCTCTAGGAAAACAGTCATCATTTTACAATAGGAATTTGGCTTTTGGTATAAATGAAACGTGGCCTTTGCTCACCTGGGTGTTTGGCTTTTCTTCTCCATTCTTAAATTAATAACATAAAAAGAGATAGAGCAGAATAAATAATGCATTAAGAATATTCAAATAATGTTTCAATGAAAGTTCATAAGTAAAAAAGCAATGATACACGTACCCTGTGGGAGCATTTTTTTTTTCACTTATACAGTTAACAGGCGCTATTATACTATCAGTATTATCTTTAGTTATCATCTTTATATCATCCTCAACCTCCTCCGCTGATGAAAATGAAAATGTATATTGGGCTTTCCTTTGCAAATCTTCCTTTGAGAACACTGGCAAATGTTTCCCTGATTTCATTGAAAATAGAGGGATCTTTTCTTATTACTTTCAAGTGGATGAAAGTATTACATTACAGTGGATGAGAACTACAATTTCTAAAGTTAAAATAATGTAATGTCTTTTCTTTCAGGAATTCCCATAGTTTGTCCACAGCTCTTTATATTTTTATATGGATGACAAGCAAAAGCAGCCACCACAATCAGCATAGCAGCATCTGGCTTGGGTACGGAGTTGCCTTGCTATGCCTTTGCTGACCAGACTGTCACATGTCACAAAAATGAAGGAAATTTAGCATTCACATTTTCTTAAGACTTAGATTAGGGGTCAGAAACCATTAGAAGTGGGCTGAATTAGTGCAGCTCAGTCTGAATTCTGGCCACCAGTTGCAAACCACCTGCCATCACCAAGGGGACACTTGCGTGCCTATACACAAATGCCAGAAGCTTGGGGAATAAACAGGAGGAACTTGTTCTCCTGCTAAATGCAAATAACTATGATGTCATAGGGATAACAGAGACCTGGTGGGACTCCACCCATGACTAGACCAGGGGTACAGACGGCTATACCCTGTACAGGAGGGATCGAGTGGACAAAAGGGGCGGGGGTGTAGCTCTCTATGTCAAGAAAAGCTACACATCCCTGCAAGTCAACATTGGCAGCCATGGTGGAAGACTTGAGACCCTCTGGGTTAAAATCCATGGGGAACATAGCACAGGGGATACTATGGTGGGAATCTACTACAGACCCCCTACCCAGGGTCAAGACTTTGACCAGGAGTTTGCCAGGGAATTGGCTGAGGCCGCACGATCTCAGTGTATGGTTGTCATGGGAGACTTTATCTACCCAGGTATCTCGTGGGAGGAACGCTCAGCCAAATCTAAGCGGTCGCAAACCTCTCTCTCATGCGTGGATGACCTCCATCTGATGCAGGAAGTCTACAGGCTGATGAGAGGTAAAGCACTGCTTGACCTCATACTGGCAACTGGGGATGACCTAATCAGCAACCTAACGATCGATGGGAAGCTGGGTGACAGTGACCATGAGCTGATCACCTTCACCATCTGCCATAAAGCTGGCAAGTCAGTCAGTAATACACAAGTCCTCAACTTCAGGAAAGCTGACTTTGACAAGCTCAGGAGCCTTGTCAGTGAGGCCCTAAAGAGCCACAAGCTAAAGGGGAGGGGAGTTCAGGATGAGTGGTTGCTCCTCAAGGGAGCAATCCTGGATATGCAAGCAAAGTCCATCGCGTCTCGGAGGAAAGGCAGCAAAAGGACACAGCAGGCCCCTTGGCTCTCCAGAGAACTAGCAGACCTCCTGCGTCTAAAAGAAAGACCTACAAAGGATGGAGGACTGGATCCACCACCAAGGAAGAATACACTGCACTGGTCCGGACCTGCAGAGAGCAAACCAGGAAAGTCAAGGCTGCAACTGAACTCCAGCTAGCTACAAATATCAAGGACAATAAAAAGTCCTTTTTTAGATATGTAGGGAGCGGGAGGAAAAGCAAGGGCAACATTGGACCCCTGCTAAACCAGATGGGGCAGCTGACAACTGATGCCCAGGAAAAAGCAAACTTGCTAAATGGGTACTTTGCGTCAGTTTTTCACCAGTCCCATGGGACAGCCCTGCCCACTGTGGGTCAGGGATCCCTGGGCAAGGGAGATTCCTTACCCTCCATCAAAGCTGACCTCATGAAGGAACACCTTGACAGGCTGGATACCTTCAAGTCAGCCAGCCCTGATGGTTTAAACCCTAGGATACTCAAGGAGCTGGCGAGCATCATAGCTCAGCCCCTGGCACAGATCTTTGAGAACTCCTGGCGCTCTGGTGTAGTGCCTAAAGACTGGAAGAGGGCCAATGTGGCGCCTATCTTCAAGAAAGGGGGGAAAGTAGATCTGCCTAACTACAGGCCCATCAGCCTGACCTCTATCCTGGGGATGGTCTTGGAAAAGTTAATCAAAGAGGCCATCCTGAACAAACTGGCTGACGGCAATATCCTGAGGGATAGCCAGCACGGGTTTATTGTGGGTAGGTCTTGTTGACCAATCTCATTTCCTTTTATGATCAGGTGACCTATCATCTAGACAAGGGGAAAGAGATTGATGTCATTTATCTTGACTTTAAAAAAGCTTTCAACCTGGTATCCCATGATCACCTCTTGGTAAAACTGGCTAAATGCAGCCTCGACTTCACCACAATCCGCTGGCTGGGGAATTGGCTCCATGGTCAGACCCAGAGGGTGGTGGTTGATGGAAGTCAATTGTCATGGTGTGCAGTGACCAGTGGGGTCCCCCAAGGCTCTGTCCTTGGGCCTATACTTTTTAACATCTTCATCAATGATATAGACATTGGTGTCAGAAGCAGGCTGGCCATGTTCACCAACGACACCAAACTCTCGGGTAAAGCATCCACACCTGAGGACAGGAGGGTGATCCAGGCAGTTCTTGACTGGCTCAGAAAATGGGCGGATGAGACCCTGATGGTGTTTAACACCGAAAAATGCAAGGTTCTCCACCTTGGGAGGAAAAACCTGCAGCATACTTATAGGGTTAGCAGTGCTACGCTGGTTAGCACTACAGATGAAAGGGACTTGGGAGTCCTGGTTGACCACAAGATGAACATGAGCCTTCAATGCAATGCTGTGGCTAGTAAAGCAAGCAAAATTCTGGTTTGCATCCATAGATACTTCTCAAGCAAATCCCGTGACGTTATTCTCACCTTGTACTCGGCCTTGGTGAGGCCGCAGCTGGAGTACTGCATCCAGTTTTGGGCTCCACAATTCAAAAAGGATGTGGAGAAGCTTGAGAGTCCAGAGGAGAGCCACGCGCATGATCAGAGGTCAGGAAAACAGACCTTATGATGAGAGGCTGAGAGCCATGGGACTCTTCAGCCTGGAAAAGCGCAGGCTCAGGGTCAATCTCATGGCCACCTATAAGTTTATCAGGGTTGTTCACCAGTATCTAGAGGAACGTCTGTTCACCAGAGCACCCCAAGAAATGACAAGATCGAACGGTCACAAACTCCGCCGCGACCGATTCAGGCTGGACATAAGAAAGAACTTTGTCACTGTCCGAGCCCCCAAGGTTTGGAATAGACTGCCACCGGAGGTGGTTCAAGCACCCGCTTTGAATGCCTTCAAGACACATTTGGATGCTTATCTTGCTGGGATCCTATGATCCCTGCTGACTGCCTGCCCCTGGGAAGGGGCTGGACTCGATGATCCTTTGGGGTCCCTTCCAGCCCAAATGTCTATGAAATCACTCCCCCCACCATTGACTGCTGTCAGTTCTTCCAGATGCTGAATTGCTGACTGCGGGGCAGGATAAAAATCACTTGGAAGGCTGGATCCAACCCACAGGCTATCAGTTGCCAACCCCTGATATACTCTCTCCCCTGTTAACACTCTTTACCATAAAGGACTGTCAGTAGGGGCGTGTGAAGCGGGCCTTATTCAATTTAGATTCAGATTCAGCCCAAATCAGGGACAGTGATTCGATTAATTGATTCAAATCACTGTGCCTGATTCAATTTGGCCAAATCCAAATCTGAAGATTCAATGCTGATTCGGAAAATCAGTTATTCAGACATAGACAGAGTTTTAGACGTTTTTTCTACATACCTCAAGGTACCAGCGCGGCTTGTGAACGCTGCGATGCTGGGGGCATGGAGCGTCCCACAGAAGTTGGGGGGGGGGGGCCTTCACGTGGTCAGCAGCAAACCTGGAAGTGAACTGGAAGTACTTCCAGCCCACTTCCGGGTCCAGCAGGGAGCACGAGTAGGGGATTCCCTGCACCCCCCCCAGCTTGGCAATCAGCCATGGGAGGAGTCCGGGTGCCCCCCTGAGATCCAGGAGTCACCAGTTGCTGAACTGGGGGGGGGCATGGGGGGAGGGGGAGCCTGGCACACTCCCCGGCAGACCCAGAAGTTGACGGGAAGTGCTTCTGATCCACTTCCAGGTCTGCTTCCGAGCATGCTAGGATGCCACCCATGCTTCTGTGGGACGCTCCAGGTGCCCCAGCATCACAGCACTCACGAGCCCCTGCTACCTAAAGGTGTGCAGAAAAAACATTTAAAGCGGTGTCTATGTTTGAATTGCCAAATCTTTCCGAATCGATTCAGAGGGTTCCGATTCAATTTGGAGAGATTAAAGGATCCTCTGATTCAATTTGGATTCAGAGATTCAGCCACTGAATTGGGCTGAATCTCTGCCAAATCGAATCAGGGACTAAAGTTTTGCACAGCCCTAGCTGTCAATAGGAATTCCTGAAAGACCATATCTATTCGTCATAAAGAAATGTATATTCAACGTGTGTGTTTAGCCACAGTATGATATTTCTTAGCCTAGTTTTACTCATACTGTTTTTAAAAGTTAAATTTTAAAAACATCAGAAACAAGCAAAATACTCTTATGAGACCACAGCCTCATAAAAAGGGGCTTTTTTGTGGGGAGGGAAAAGAGGGAAGGGAAGAGGGTAGAGAATGATACTTACTTAGCTCCTCCTGGAGTTTTCCTTTATAAAAGAGAATAAATAAGCAGTTAGTACAGGAGTATTTCTTCTTCCCTCAACATTAAAATGCCTACTGGGAAATAGGCAACATATGTGCTGCATATTTAGGGCAGTGAGAATATTGAATCATAGAAAAGGAAGGCTGGAAGGGACTTCCATAGGTCATCTAGTCCAACCCCCTTCCTGAGGTAGGATCACCCCTATCTAAACCACTCTAAGCAAAACCTTGTCTAACCGATTGGTAAAATTACACAGCAAACACTGACACACAACCAGAAGGCATGACTCCCAAATATGCCAGAGGTACAGCTGGCGGACAATGGCAGCCTCTTTTGGCTTCTATTAAAGGTGTTAAAATATGCTTGAGAGATCCCAAGTAGAGGGCCATGCCTCCCACTACAGAGAAAGGCAAAAAGCCCCATGGTCCAGATCAATCTGACCACGGGGTAACATTGCTTCATGACCCCACATGAAGCAATTGGTTTGACCCGGAGTGAAAGGGTAAGACCCTTTAGCCAGAAACAAAGCCAGACTAGGCTTTGTTCCTAGTCAGAGTACTGGTATACCCTAGGGGTGTGTGAAGTGGGCAGTACTTGATTTGGATTTCGCCCGATTCAGGGGACAGTGATTCAAGTCGCTGATTTTGATCGCTCTCCCGGTTCAATTCAGCCGAATCTGAAGATTCTATTCCGGTTCATAAAATCAGCGATTCGGACATAGACACAGCTTTTTATGTTTTTCCTACATACCTTGACGTAACAGGTACGACTTGTGAACCCTGACATGGTGGGGCAGATGGAGTGTCCTACAGAAGTGCAGGGAGGGGTCTGCTGCCCCCAGGTGCCCCCCAGACCCAGGAGACACCAGCCGCTGAGCCGGGGGACAGGGGGAAGGGGGTCCCCCATGCGCTCCTGTGGGACACTCCATCCACCCCACCATCTCAGCATTCATGAGCCACACCTGAACCTCAAGGTATGTAGAAAAAACATATAAAGCTGTGTCTATGGTCAAATCATTGAATCTCTCTGAATCTATTTGGAGGCTTCTGATTTGATTCAGAGAGATTAATGTGTCTCCTGATTCGATTTGAATGCGGAGATTTGGCCGGCAAATTGGCCCGAATCTCCTCCAAATCGAATCAGTGACTGAAGTTTTGCACACCCCTAGCATAACTCAGTCCCAGTCCACAGCCTTGGCTGTAGGCAATACTCACTGCTTCTGAGAAGCCAACCTCCCCCCATCCCTCCCCCAAATCCTAATACATGTAGCAACAGAAGGGCAGGGGGGGGGGGGGGAATATTTCTTGGTCTCATATGGCAACCAGCAAAGCCCAAAAGAATGGGAAATACCCACAGTATAGCATAGCTACTCCTAGGTCATCCCTGATTAATGTTTGTCCAAATTCCTGAAGACCTACAGTGATGGGGAATTCATAACATCCCTAGGCAGTTTATCCTACTGTCTCGCTATTATAACACTGAAGATGTCCGTAGTATCCATTCTGAACCTATTTTGCTGAAGCTACAAGCCATTGGCCCATGCCCTGCTCCCTGCAGCAGGAGATAAAAGGTGCTTTCCCTCTTCTTTATGGCAGCCCTTCAGATATTTGAAGACTGCTATCATGTCCTCTCTTAACAGACTTTTTGCAAGCAGAATGTGCCAGTTTTCTTCATCCTCTCCTCATATAGCTAGCCATTTATCATTTTTGTTGCCCAGCTCTGGACCCTTCCTAACTTCTCCCTGTCCTTTTTAAAATGTGAAGCCCAAAACTGCACCCAGTACTTTAGATGAGGCCTAACCAGTCCTGAATAAAGAGGCACTGTCATCTCCTGTGCCCTGAAACTTGTTCTTTCTGTTGATGCAGCCCAAAACTGCATGTGCCTTTTCTGTTGCTGTGTCACATTGAAGACTCATATTGGGCACAACTATGTGAGATGCTTTACTCAAGATTAGAGCAAATTATTGCACAGTAATCATCCTCATCTACATGTGCAGATGCATACTGTGCAATAATTTGCTCTAATTGTAAGTGCATTTGCTACCTGTAAATACAAGTAGCAAATTTACTCAGTAATTAGTGTGCAGTATAACACATGTAGATGGCCAGCTGGGAGCACATATACTCCCAGGCAGCCAGGCATCAGGGCAGGAGTTTGCTTCTTACCCCTGGGAGCTGCCTGCTGCTGGAACAGGCTCTGCCATGGGAGCCCAGGCAGGAACAATGTCCCCCTGCCCCAGCAGCAGGGAGCTTCCAGACCCCACTCTGCAATGATGGAGCAGGGGCTGGGAGCTCCCTGCTGCTGGGGCAGGGGGATATTGTCTCCACCTGGGCTCCAATGGCAGGCTGACCCAGCAGCACTCATTTCCCAGGGACAGGGAGTGATCTTCCAGCCCCTACCAGAAGACAGCTGTCTTCTGGCCCCATACTCCCTGCCAGCCTCTGGGCTACCACCCAGGGGGAGCCTAGTGCTCCCCCTGGCTGCTGGAAGAGGTCAGTCCAGGCCCAGTGGGGGCAGGAGTGGACTGCTGCCATGATCAGCAAATCTGGTCCTGCTTCCTCACATGTGTAGACTGCCTGCGGTGGGTTTACAGAGTAAATTACTCTAGAGTAAACCACCCTGGGGGCATTTGCATGTGTAGATGTGTCCATTGAATCTGTGATCCACTAAGACTCTCAGACTTTCTCTCCAGTGCTTTCTCTCCAGTGCTGCCATCCAGCCAGGTGTCATGCACACAGCTCTTTGCTCCCTGACTCCTTGCTGTGGTGAACTCCCAGGCAAACTCCCTCTCTGCTTCAAGTTCCTTCTCTTTGCAAAGGGGTGCCTGGCCTGGGTCTGCCTGGCTCTGCTTGCCAGCTTGCTAAACCAGCCCCACTTGAAGCAGATGATTGCACATCCATCTATGACTGCAAACCTTACTAAGCAGTCTCTCCAAAAATGGGAACAAGTCAAACACACAGATGCAACAAATCAGACATCCAGAATATCTGATCTTCAGACCACCAGCTCCTGGAAAATCATCCTACAAGCAGTCCCACTGATGAGTTGTTCCTCTTTCTTCTCACAACTGCTCCCAGGCAAAGCCCCTTTCTGTTTGCTGCTCCTCTTGTCATTGGAAAATAAGTTCTGAAGTTACAGACTTCATCATGATCTGCATGCCCAATTGCCATCCTATTTGCTCACCCTGTGTGGGTGTATCAACACAAGCATGTACACTTGCAGCAGCTCAAATATAAACAGCACAAATTTGTGCCAGAGATTTTTGCTTCAGTGCACATGCCTGGACATGTACTTTGGTGTGGGGCAAGTTGTGCCACTTGGGGCAAAAAGACCCTGCCCAGCTTCTTCCAGATCTGCAGCCAGGGGGAGCTAAAGCCTGGTGCTGGCCTCAGCAGTATAAACAGCTGCCCTGGCAAGCAGCTTAGGGAGCCTCTGAGGCCCAGCCAGTTGGTATCTGGGGACAGTAGCTCCTTGTGCCAGCTAGACTGCCCTAACCTAGAGCGGCCCCTGCATCTTCTACCCACTGCCGAAGCCTGGTAGTGGGGGCTGCTGCCTGGCTGTGACCTGCTGCCACCTGTAACAGCTTCCACCCCCTTGGACCTGTGGCCCCATGACTGCATGGCTACCAGACCTGGATGGGGTGCCCACACTCTGCCATCTGGTCAGCTATGGCCCAGAAGATGAGCTCCTTGTAGTGGCCCACTTTGAAGTGTCAATGCATGTCCTCTTGGCCCCAAATGACCAAGAGGTCAGCCACTTCACCTGCCCTCCAGCTGGGTCCCCAGTGCTGGCCCTGGACAGGCTTCCCACCATTTGTTTTACCAACAGCAATCCTGGTGTTCCCTGTTTAAAACTTGCAAATACTCTGATAAGAAACCAAAATATGCTGATTAAAACACCCAAAATATTGTTCTTGTGCTAGTAAAATGGAATGCCACTATAGAGAGAGATCAGCTGGGCAATGTTTTATCGATATATTTACGAATTTAAAGCAATGAGTGGGGGTGGGGAGCTTGTGGGTTGGTGCAGGGTTTGTGGGGGTGAGGTTTGGGGGTATAGGACTTGTGCAGGGGTTTGGGGTATGTGGCTGGGTATGTGGGTGAGGGGTTTGTGGGGGTGGGTAGGGGATGTGGGTGCTGGGGTGGATTGTGGGGTGACTGTGGATATGGGTGTTGTAGGTGGATTGGGTAGGGGGATTGGTGTGGGAGGGATGTGGATGAATAGTGGGGGAATTTGGGATGTGGGGTGGCTGTGTAGTGGGGGCTGCTGAGGAAAGGTGGGTCCCCTGCCTTTCGACAGGCTGCAGCCCCCCTGCACAGCACATGGACTGCCCCTCACAGGGCCCACAGCTCCCCCCACAGAGCCACAACCCCCCCCACAAGGCCCACTGCTCCCCCTCAAGGGCCACATGCCCCCACACAGCTAACATGCCCACTGCATGTCACACATGCCCCCGCACAGGGCC